CCCCCCCCCCCCCCATTTAAAACCCAACCATTTTCTTTTGATACATGTTTGGCTTCAATGTGTGCTGTCTTTCCACCATTTGGTTTGATATTGTTATCTAATGCAATGCCATGCACATCTCCCAAGAGATTTTGTGTATATTTTATGTATACTGTGCAAGATGAAACATCTCTTCTATCAATCTACTATACATTTTTCAACGGCCCTTCTGTTGAAAATACTAGGCTGTGTGTATGCGCATGTGTGCTACTGAATAAAAAAAAAACACATTTAAGATCTCAAAGCATTTTATTCTCTCCCTCTCCATGCTTGCTCATTCCTCAAATAGAATTAATGCAAAAATGACAATTACAAAAAAAAAGTAAAATACACACTGGTAGCAGTTCATATTTTAAAGTGCAGCTGCATTAGTATTCTCAGTCCATGCACAATATTCAGAAAATATTTGCTATTTTCCCCCTAAAATACAATAGCAATAGCCATGAACTCCCCTCACAACGAACCCTTAGACCCAAAATAAGAGGGTGTCAGAGAGTAGGAGTAAAACTGGAGCTATAAATGCCCATTTGCATCACAGGATCAATATGGAAACGCAGTATCCCACTGCCAGAAAACACTGCTAACAATCCTACCCTAGAAAGCCGAACACTGTCTTCTCTATATCCTTAAACTATAGCCATCCATCCAGATTACACCCCTAAGTGAATGATACAGGGGTGAAACATGCAGCGCTAAGCAGGTACACCCTCGGCCCGTTAATATGGGATGGATGTCGAGTCCAAATGCTGGAAAATGCCCAAAATGTCCCAGTCAACGAAAACTAACTTCTATTTAAACAGTTAGACTGAGTCTAAAAACAGATAGAGATATGAATCATTCATCCTTAAGCAATAATTAATGGTTTTACATGGTAACAGAGCGCAGCCAAGCCCTCTTTACTTTGCACTGCCCTTTCATGCTGCAAGTTTACAAGCTGCTCCATAATAAATAACAGAGGAGGCTGCGCGTAATGGTATCAAGCATCCTCGCGCACTGCCCAAACCAAACGCTCCAGCTGTTTCTGCAACCACACGCACTTTTCTCGTGAACATGCATCTCACCATTGCTGAAGAAGAAGGCGTCTATCCAGCGTCTTGCAGGTTACGGTCGCTTTTCCAGAAGGTGTTATGCTCTTAATATCGGTGTCTCATCATCATGATCTCCCGTTAGGAAAATGAATAGAAGAGAAAATGTCCAGGGCGCCGCATAGAGAGAGAACGAAAGAGCGCGCGCGGGAGAGAGCAGTGCGCATGAATAAGACGAGCCGTGTGTTTTACTGCGGAGAGCTGGAGGGCGAGTAGCGTCCGTGTGTTGTAGTGCTGAGTCCGTGCGCTCTTGCAGTGGAAAGCAGTGC